AGAACCCCCTAAAGAAGACTGGCTTAGATGTTCCAAATACGCGGAGTGGTGGCATGAAGCCTGTACTAGCTATGAAGGTCAAAATATGTTCATTTGTGACTACTGCAAGTAATGAAAACCCGCATTTGGGGATATTTTTCCCGCGTACTCTTACAGACTCACTTGCGTACTTTTATCCAATAACTCTTGTAAGAGTACGCAATTCTCACTTTTGTTATTGTCGCTAAAAATGGTCATCTACCATTTCGTTACATGTCATGTTACTTTATGAAAGGTGTGATTATGAAGTACAAAATAAAAATTTTACTCATCGTCTAAAATTGTATATTTTGATTCTAGAGACCAGCCTACCCTATGTCAGTAATAAACGCTATATATTTGTATCAAATTATAACAATAAAAGTTTACACCGCAATTGTTTTAATTGTTTAGTTCATTACTAGGGTGGCTCAGTAAGTAGGTATAAATGCAGCACTGTCCCTACATCTATTTGACGCGAGTCTTGTTAGGGAAGTATATCTATTGCATATGTGTTCAAAGGCGCTAGGGATTATGTCAAAACTAAGATAAGCCTATAAGTCAAGAAATTTCCTATACAGGGTGTTGTACAAATATGATGGCTACGAATACAAATACTGATAATGCCAATCCTCATTAATTAAAAAAAAATAGTACCTACCTAGTTTAAATTAAACCATTCTGTAGCTATGTATCAAAATTATTATTATCTTTTCTCTTTCAAACTATACGTTCATTGATATGGTGTATATATATGAATTATAAAATAATAGAATTAAAAAAAACTCATTTAAATTTAGAAACATATATGCACGATTAAAGTGATTTTATTTTAAAAAATTACGTCACGTTCAAACTTTTTTCCGACTTACAATGGCAAACTATGAATGACTTATCTAATGTAAAGAAAATTCAGTAGCTAACAGTTTACAGATTTGTTCGAATGTGGTTTACGGCTTATGCTTTAAACGACAGGTTATTCGTCAGATTTCGGTTACCAATTACATTTTAGGATAAAATAACATAGCTATTAACTAGTCTAGTTTATTTGAAATAAATTTGTGTTGCACTTTTCATTAAATATATTTCACAAAACTTTCTCAGTTTTAAATAATAAAATAACAGTTTTTAGGATGGTCTATCAATAAGACCTTCATTGAATTATACAAAATAGATATTTAGTATAAACATAAACCAAAATTACTTGCGAACTCAACAAAAGAAAATAAAACTTTGTTTTTGTTGTGGCAACGATTCATAAAACCCGGGGGATATTTTGAATTTTTAAAACGCTCTGATACGAGAAAAAAGATTTTAATTGAGATAAACTGTCTTCAGTGGCTCTGGTGACCGCGCCAGACGGTGCCCCTCGGCGCGGTTCATAGCGAGCGAGGGATCGCCCGAGGCTGTGGCACTAAGATGAGTAGCACTTAACCACTAAAGTATCTAGCTTACCTACTCCTGTTTCCTTGCTATAAACATGAAATACGTATTTTATTTGAAATATCAAGTAATAATGTCGCTTACAAATTATTATTTTATTAGTAAATGTAGGTATGTTTTACATTTTGTGAAATTAGGTAAATGGTCCGAATTGTAAGCGTGAGGACGAATTTTAATCTAGATAAAATACAGACAACAAGAGTAATTTAATATATTTCTGAATTGGCATAACTCTTCATGAATCACGGTTGGTGGTCACAATCCATCGGTGAAAACCGTAGGATACATTTGGGCTTTACTGTGTTTATGGCACAGAGAGACAAATAGACAGTCTGATGCGGCGGGGAGATCATTGCAGTCATGAGTAGTGGTCGGCTCAGCCGTGGAATACTCTTATGTCACTTAAATTAAAAACGTCAACTGACTGACATTGATTAAAGGAAAGGAGGAACCCGTGGGTGTTTCCACACGTAAAACATCATTTCAGTTACCTCACTGATACTAATTACGTTGTTACATTCTCACCATTAGGTTCATCATGACTAAATAGAAATGAAATTCGAAAAGTGCTTCTTCTATGGGACACAATCGAACAATATCGATAATAGACGATCGATAGTATGCGATCCATTAAACAAACTGTAGTTTGTAGGTGCCATTTGGGACAAGATCATACTAGAATTTGGTGATAAATTTCAATTAAAATGTACCTTGCGAATGTATTCTTAAGGAAAAAGACAAAATATTATTCTCAACGATTAAATAATACACACGCATAAATCTAGGTTGTTTTGGAAAAGCCTGACAGTATCGAGCCACATCGGTGTCAGGCGTGGCAGACACTCCTATTCACACAGATCACGACAATTGTATAAAGATCTGTTTATCTTTGTTGTTTCTGAAATCGTATACAGTCGACATAGTCTACAAAAAACTCCACCTAGCCAACTTTTAAGACTGTCAAGTAAAGTAATGGATGATCAGAAAGTCCTTGTCATTGCTGCAATTTTAACTATAAAAAATGTTTTACACATTTAACGTGAATTGGTAAGGAATAAATTGGTACAGGGGTCTATCATTTATGTTAATACACCAAAGATTATACGCAGAGGCATTTGGAGCTACTTATCTAGGCTGTGCGTGTTATGATGCACCTGTGTTGGTGGATAGGACAACTGTAGGTACTGTGCATCGCAAAATGTTACAAGGTGAACAACTCGCACTGATATTCTTGTGAAGGCAAATGACTATAACGGTTAACATCGAGGCTTTGCCGGTGTGGGCAGGTATAATTAATGTTGATCTCGAGGTGCAAAGACTATTATAGGTACTATTCATCACGATAAACTCACAAGATGGCTTCAACAACAATTCGATGTCTATAATGACCTCATAGACGGATTTGAACTTTGATTTGAGATATGATTTACTTCTGATTCATTTCATTTAAGACCTAGACGTTCCTAATACTGCCCAAGTATCTAAACTCGGTGTGTACCCCCGTCTCCGCTACAACGCAGCTTCACTATAAGGTCACCCTTAAGAGGGTTGTCTAAATTTAGTATTCATGTCCTGTCCTCTATCACTAAGTTTAACAAGTGCCATAGTGCCGTAGTAGTATTATATATCACCCTAACGTTCACTGTCTGAAAATATCATCTCTAGGTTTCCCTTCTACACTATGTGCATGGAGTTTAAATAAATAAATAAAGATACAATTGTACTGGCGAGCGAGTTCCGGGTCGCTTCGCTTCTTAACAAAGGGCCCGTAACTACAAGGGCTTCCCCGAAACATAAACGTAAATATAACTGTTATAAATGGTTTTTCAGGATTTTTATCAACAAAGCACATTTGTTTTACATTTTTCAATTGGTGTAAAATAAAATTTATTTCTATGTAATATAATAATAAAACATTATTATATTACAGAAAATGGGGTACCCATTCTTTTTAACAATGTTTATTGACATTTCACGCTAGGTAATCTGTGTTGTATAATTACCATGTGTAAACACACCGACTTTACGTTATCAAGTTTGGACTTAATTAAAAATACTTTATCCAATCGCTATTTCTAAAACGAAATTATAGAAGGAATATTTTTTATTTCTATTTTGTTTATTTTACTATAGATTGAGGGCATTTTTTTAAAAAGAATTTAAAACATGGAACACCTCAATACATAAAGGGAGACTCTACGAGCGGTGGGAGGACGATTTTAGCAAAAAGCTGGACCACAGTGGATACGAATACTTAGTCCAAGATTTAAAAAAATGGCAATCCTTGGAAGAAGCCTTCACCCGAGAACCCCTCCTAACCAAACAGCAAAAAAACCCTTTAATATAAATTTTAATTGTTTAATAATAAGTTTCACAAATACTGTAATAATAACTGTAATTATGAAATTAAAGGCTTTATTATTATTACATCTCAATTAATAGGAAGAGATCTGATAGCAAAATTTAAAAGAACAACTAAGTACATAGCAAAGTAGTAGGAACTATCATCGTTTTCAATTGGTAAAGAAGTTCCAAACAGACGTTGCCCTAATCCATACCTAAATCTCAAAGTAATGGATATGAGGAAATTGATTTTTTACTAATGTACAGCAAACGATAATATTTCCAAGGAAGATTGCGTTTGGCCAGCGTTCGGACATAAGAGAATAAACCCGAAACTATTTTCCAATGAAAATAAGAAGTGATAGGGGAAAAACGAAGAAGAATTATACCGACCCCAAATTGAAAAACCCCAATTTGAGAAAATGGTAAGAAGATGATGATAGGGTAGAGTTTGAACTAGTCGGGAAAATATCCACTGTGACCCAGACTTAGGTCAATCTGGATCAGTGCACAGGTGTCAGAGGATTAGTTTGTATTTGAGTCATGAGAGTCGTTCCAATCAAGCGTTCTAAGCGATCTCATAAAAGTTTGTAATATTTACAATAATTATTTGATATATCTCTAAAATCTGTCGCTTATGTAAACATTATTTAAAACATACCTGTCTGGTATTAATTGAGTAGGTACTCCACTGTAGACTTAAGTTATGGTTTGGCTTAAGGAGATATTTAAGAGTAACTACTATATTTGAAAATATACCGAAGGATCTACTGTACTCCGTAATCTACTGTCACCCACTCCCTCTATCTACATATCGTAAAGATACCTACTATTGGAATAGGATATTAAAGTTATTTTGGCACCCGAGGAAGTGCAAATGTTGACCATGACTATGATGTGACTATGATTAGAGGACTATGTTGACATTACAATACAAAATGTACAACAACAGTAGTCTGAAAGTGTAGATGAAATACATAGATACCTACTGTAGGTAATAGTATAAATCTTAGACAAGAAAAAAAACGAGAAATTACCCTAAACCTCTACGGATTTAATAAATTTACTTATAACATAAAATATGTAGGTAAGTCGTATGGTAAATGTGATTACCTAAGCTGTTGGCAAACGTACCAAAGAGGTCATGAGCTCTATGGAACGGCGAGTGCGCCAGATGCTGTAATTGCAGTTGCGGCATGGGGGGGTGTGGACGTGGAGCCAGTATGCTGTCTATGGTGAAGAGCGGCGCAGGTGGGCGCTCGGGCAAGGCGCCGCCCAACAGCAGCGCCGTGCTGAGCAGCGCGGGCGCGTCTCGCGGCCAGCCGCCGCCTGCGCCGCCCATGCCGCCCTCGCCGCCGCAAGCGCCCTGCGGCGCCGCCACGCTGACCGACCGCAGCGCCACCCTTACCGTCACTTTACACTCACGGCCACCTTCGGACACCACATTATATGATAACTTTGAAATTTTTTCTTCTAATCATACCGTTCACAGTCACTGAGTTTCTGCACAATAATTTTAAGTAAAACTTTGTTCGTGAATTGATTCGGGTATTACCAGTAAATAATGTTTGTACACGGAAGTCGGCAAAGCGGAGATTTTTGGTATGTAACGATAGGATAATGCGATGCGTGATGCGATTGCTCGTAAATCGTTTTAGTGAGTAGCGGCGTGGCGCGGCGCGGCCGAGTGGCGGGGCGCCGCGTGGGGTGCAGGGCGTGCGCCGGGGCGTGGCGCGCGCCGCTCCGCCCCTCGCACAGCTTAATGGATATGACAATACGACGCTCCCAAACAGTTCATATAATAGTAATCTCTGTATCCCTCCCTATTACTTGTTATCTGTTGTAATGAAATGCGTCGGCATGTTATGTGCTCAGCCAGCCGGCTTTACACTGCGCTCCATTTATTATTCTGGTGTTCATTTTAATACAGATTAGATAGATAGACTCCAAGCTTTAAATATAATGCAACATATTGCAGCTAGCTAAAATATAGAAGCCATTCCCTTAAATACTGCTCTACCTAACAATTACATCTTAACAAACTCTGGATTGCATTTTAGGGGTTGCATTAGGTAGGTACTTTACAGGTCTCAACTTTATAGGTAAATGATGAGCGTCTTATAAAAGAGGTAGATAGACATATTCACCGGGATCAAGAGCTCACGACAGCCCCTTTGTGGCAATTGTGGAGACGCAAGGGATTAGCAAGCTCTTACTAACAACGAACAAATTGAATGACTTGTTTTGTCAAAAGTTGCGCCCGCGGTGTTTCACGACGTGTTCGCCTTTTTGCAGCTTATGAGAATCGTATAACAATATCTAATGCTCACACACCTACACAAATCTTATATCCTATGGATAAAGAATAAAAAACGTTTTTTCACAATCAGACAAAAAGGTAGGTAAGTATTTATAAAAACAAATTTGACAAATCAGAGATAAAATATAATTCAGACAACCTTTAGACTTTTAAGATTTGATAGTTATATTAAATCTCCGGAGTCGATAGACGTAGGTAGGTAAGTAAGTAAAATAGGTACGTAGAAATATATATTTAGGTAAGTATTGTATTGGTTCGGTAGGTAGGTAGGTATATAGTTAGGTATAATATTCAAGATTTTCCTAGTATTTTGAATACCTACATGTTTTTTTATGTAACCAGATGTATCATGCGTATTAAAATGCCAATGTTTTCTTATAAGTACAAAAATGCCAAAACGGTTGAAATATTTTCTGCACATGTCGCGCCATGCTGAAAGGGGTTAAACAATATTTCGCCTCTGACAGTATATTAACAATCACATTACACAATAAATCGAACTGCGTGTTGTTTTTTAAATATACCTACGTATTTAGTTATGTAATGTTGCATAACGAAGAGTGTCCATTGTACCGGGGAGGCGCGCGGCGACTCGCCAAATATTGACATAGGTGTGAGCAGCGAAACCGGAGCGGACTTCTGTTTACCTGTAATTGATGTAATTAGTCGTGTCGGCCAGCTGCCACCGATAAAACCTCCGAGCCCATGTTTGAACAGTTAATATGATACTTTCATGGGCCGGAAACATCTTTACGGTGTTCTGTTCCGACAAATATTGGTCACTCGACGATGCGTGACACTAAGTCAAGATTACCTGTAAAGTCAGGGTTTTACGACCATGCCAGTGCAAACAATTAAATATTCGTCTACACGACGAAGCAGTAAATCAACGCTTACTGGTTTAGGTCTTGAAACAACATTAGATTGCGATAATAATTTTCAACCAATTTTCAACACTTTGAATAAAATATTTAACCAGCCTTAAGGCTCGGTGATCTTTAACCTAATCTACCTAAAATTATATTATGTAAGTATATACTAAGGTAAGGTATTGCAGCGCATCAGGGATGTTTGTCGAAGCTCGTGTGGACTGTTTTACCAGGATGCGTAAGAGATGCGCACCCCTGGTGCGCTGTGTGCGGCCCAACTAGAACAGCATTTTGCGTTGCATTGCCAGCAGGCCGGCAGGTGTGTATGTAAACCGCTGCTGCAGGCTTTCTACCTTGGTTGTGAAGTTGTGGTAGGGATTCACATACATACATGATGTAATAGGAAAAATAGATTAACATAGTTTGTAAGAAAATTTATTGCTCCTAAGCGAATAAGTCTAACGTTACTCGAATAAACGATTATTATTAAGTATTATGATATACCCTGGATCATGGTTTGCCCTTAGTACCTATCTAAGTACGCGTTTTGTAATAAGAAAATTAAACCTACATTTTAAAACCATCTCATCTGAATAACACAAATGCCGACCTTAAATTGATGATTGCTGCTAAAAAAATATTGTCTTATTAAGTACATCGGGCTCAAATTCAACTCCTAGCATAGGAAATTTTGCTACGATAAGAATTTAATAATACTTTCTAAACCTATTACAGTATAACATTACTTAGTAAGGATCTACGTTTAAAACCATTAAGAACTGCTTTAGAATTTAGGTAGATACCTCCCTGTCTACTTATTCTTAAACTTTCATCAACCCTTTAAATGAATGTGTTGCATTTATTCCAACTGGTACTTATTTTGACAAAGTACAAGTAAAAATTGGTGTTTATAAAATAAAATAATCTGTTTAACAAAAACATCTTCTGAACTGTTAAGCTAAAACGTAAGGTTCATTAAAGAATAAATACTAATAATTAATTAATACTAATAACAATACCTCATAATTTAAATAATTATTCATACCTTTACTAAAATAATATGACGATTAAAAGTATTACATTTACAATTTAAGTAACACATTTACAGAATCATGTCAAAATAGGTAAATTCGTTTTTTAAATTCTGGCATTTAACGCTAATTATTTTGGTAGTTACCAATTAATATTTGGTGGCGTATCCTTTCGCTATTATAACAACTTCGCAACGTCCCCATTATTCGCCGGCATTGCGTCAATTAACTTTTGCTAACGATCAATTGGGGTACGACTCCATTCATTGCTTTGTGCTTTGTATGAGACATCCTTATTAGAGTTATTACGCAACGATCTTAGTGTTCCCAGGGGCATTCTATAAGGATTTAAATCCGCACTTTGGCCTGCTTACTCCATAACTTAAATGAATAGAATGAAACAAAATTATAATGAAGTCACTCACGAGCTATGATTTATATTTTGATTCATTATTTTGTTTGCAAAACCGACCAGATGGCATCTTTTTTATCATACAGTTGCATTTGCTTTTTAGTAATGTCAATATACATATATGATCAATAAAGGACAGTTTTCGAGTCTTAATCTAGAAAGCAGAGTAGATACTACCAATACTAAAAATGTTGTACTTACTCGTACATAGCGTATTCCATCACTAGATGAAATGCAATACAAATCGAAGCTTGCTATTCTTCGCAGGTATCAGGGGATTTTTGGTCAGATGTCAAGGATGCAAGCCGATATATTTAATCCGACGACGACTTTTCACTGTTAAAACAGTTATAGGTACTTAGAGGTACAACTTAATTTACTAGTAACTCGATTTTTATTTGCACTACTGACTTCATCGGACATTCGGACATCACTCATTGACAATTTTTTTTACTTCCTCATAATACAAAACAGTCGACTAAACAGACTATATATGACATAAGATAAAGATGGCAAAAACCGTATTTATTTACAAGCACGTGAATGAGCCATGCTACAACACAAAAAGGAGTGAAATCACGGCCTTGCAGAAAACCGGTGTTAATCAATAGTTTCTGTCTTTCTTTCTTTTTAATAACTGCTGCACTATTATATCATGTGTCGCAGGGTACTTTACAAACATACATGAAACGAACACAAAGAACACCCAGACTCAAAACGACTATTTGTGGATCTCAGAAAGTTAGCGTAGTAGTCAGTCAGCGTAGTAGAAAGCGGTGTGGCGACCGCTTACACCACTAGGTACGCCATCCGTGCAGTTGTTACATTAGTTTCGTTGATTTTGCACCGAGTGAGTGAAGTTACCAGAACCCAAGCCCCCGATTCTGGGTCAGCGTTACAAGGTCGTTGCCGCCCCTTAGAGAGGACTAAAAGGACGGCATCGAACTTGTATCTCTTGAGGTGCAGGGTCCACGGGCGGCGGTGGTCAATTACCATCAGGTGACCCGTCTGCTTGTTTGCTTACCTCTATCATAACAATAGTATAGAATATAATTACAAGTTAAAACTTCAAACCAGTTCCTATAATGCACTTGTAAGGGCTGAAGAGTCAATAATACAATATAATATTTTCAGACATCTGACACATAACGCTATCTAGTTTCAAACTAAGCAGAGCTTGTACAATCAAAGCTAAAATTGACTGATAGAATACTTATATTGACTGATAGAATACTTATATATATTCTTTGTAAATAAATACATATTATACATAGAAAACATCCAAACTTCGAAACAAATATATGCAAAAAATACAAACATTTGGTCCGACTCGACCCGAGACCTCAGCACAGCAGTCGCATACGCTACCATTGCACCACCGAGGCAGTCAATATTGAAAGAAGAGAGGTCTCCAATGGGGATCCTCCTCGACTAGACAAACCTTACTTCAGCTTATCTGCTTATAGTGCGAGGACTGAGTACAAGATACTCGATTACAAAAAAAAGTTTAGACTCGACCAAATACTTTTGAGCGGTATTGTAAGTGCTTAATTACGTTTTAACAACTTCCAGGAACAGGTGGACTGCGATAGACAATCGATGGAATGTTCATCTTTTGCCTTATAACCATTAGCACTTATTAGTAGTACTAATATAAAAAAATAGTAATGACTTGACACGACTACCACACATATTAATTCGTATAGGTAGTGAAATAAAATACCTCAAACTAAACTAGAAACTAGATCTTTTCATGAGTAGAAGCTTTTCATAAGTACCTAGGTATTTTATTTCACTACCTATACGAATTAAATTCTCAGAAAATAATGAATTGACATAAATGTCACATGCATTCAATCGTGGGATA